ACAAGTATCTGCCCTCAGCCTACTCAGTGTTTTCACTTTGCCAAGTTCCTAGGGGTGGGGGGATGGTTAGCACAGTTGATCCTCGCTTCTGAAGACGTTCTTTTTTCTGGGCAAGGGAGGAGAGGTAGTTTATGATAATACACTCGATAACAACTATGGATTCTTTAGGCCTGCCTGTCATTAGAGCTAAATTGTTTGGTAACATGATAATTACCACATCATCCAAAGTAGAGGGCGTTCAGGGAAGGTTAGCAGAGTTAGAGAAAGTTGATTATTGGTTATCCAGGGGCTGTTCATAAAAGCGTTCATTAGTGCAGCTCAGGAGAAAGAAAGCAGCATATCAGCAGAACACCAACCTGGGCAGCGTTGCCTTGCCTCAGGGTATATGGGAGTCTGGTGGTGCAGCAGGGCCAGAGTTGACCTTGAAGTTCAGGGGACAGAATTGTGGCTTGGAAATGTGAGGACTGCGAGTGTAACTCTTGCTTTTGCATTTTACATTCTGTGTTATTTGTTTGTCTTTTTGTTATCGTAATTTTGGTCTTTAAGGGAATCCCACTTGCAGGATATTTGGCAGCTATCAAGAGCCATGGTACATGGGTCTCTGGGGAGCTCCTCGGGGACTCCGAGGCTGACTCCAGGTTGTTGTGCAATCAGGAAATCTGGTTCCAATCAGCCTGGCCGCTGTTGTGCTCCTTCCTGCTCAGAGTGTGGGCCGTAGACAAGCAGCATTGGTTGGGAACTGCTTAGAAATGAAGGATCGTGGGGCCGGTGTTAGGGCATAGTGGGTTAAGCTACCACCCGCGATGCTGGCATCCCACATGGGTGCCATTTCATGTCCCGGCTGCTCCACTTCTGATCCAACTCGCTGCTAATGTGCCTGGGAAAGCAGTGGAAGACGGCCCGAGTACTCGGACCCCTGCACCCACTGGGAGACCCAAATGAAGCTCCTGGCTCCTGGCTTTGGCCTGGCCCAGGCCTGGCCTTTGCAGCACCTGGGGAGTGAAGCAGCAGGTGATGATTCTCTCTGTCTCTCCCTCTCGCTATAACTCTGCCTTTCAAATAAATAAATCAGGGGGAGAGAGAGAGAGAGAAATGAAGGATCATGGGTCCTACCTAAACAGGGGAATCAGAGTCGAAGTCTTAAGGTCCCCAGGTAATCCATACGCACGTGGAAGTCGGAGAAGCACTGGTCCAAATGGTAAGCTCGGGGAAGGCCTGGACTTTTTCTGCCTTCTGACTCACTTGGCATCTCTAGGACCCATCTAAAATTTAGCACATGGCAACTGCAAGATATGTGAATTTTTCTCTCATCTGCGGCATTTCTGCACTTCTAGGAATGTCGTAAACTTCTAGGGCCTAAAGTGGTATAAAGTTGTGTAGGAAGAGGGATGGTGGGTGGAAACGGAGTTGACCTTTGATGGTTGAAAAGCTGATGCGAGTATAGACTCTCAGTGGTGACGATGGCTTTAATTTGAGTGTAGAAGCCTTTGACTTACTAAGTCAGACTCTCTGAGGGAGGGTCGTAGACCTTGTTTGTTTTTAAAAATGTCTCCCATGGGGTGCAGGGCCCAAGCACTTGGGCCATCCTCCACTGCACTCCCGGGCCACAGCAGAGAGCTGGCCTGGAAGAGGGGCAACCGGAACAGAATCCGGCGACCTGACCGGGACTGGAACCCGGTGTGCCGGCACCGCAAGGCGGAGGATTAGCCTAGTGAGCCGTGGTGCCAGCCTACAATATTTCATATAATAAAAAAAACTTTACTGTTAAGGGGAAATGGATAAGTATAATAGAATACTGTCCAAAAGTTTAAATGAATGAAAGCTACATGTATAAACATAGATAAATTAAAAAGTTTTTGAAAAAAAGAAATTTAAGAAGAAAAAAGAAATTTAAGAAGGATGTATGATGTACTATTTAAAGTTTAAAGTATGTATACTTTATTTACGTATATGTAATAAGAGACTGAAGGCCTGAATAGGAAAGATAAACACCAAGTTCAGGCTAGGGGTTAGCTTTGAGAAGGAGGAAGGGGTGTGGGTAGGTGATTTAACAATACCCTCTTGTTTTATTTCTTTAAAAAAAAAAGACTAAGCAGAGCGAGCGGGGTGGGGGGAGTGAGAGAGACAAGAAAAGAGGAACGAAAAAATGTTGCAGAAGTGATCAGCGCTGTGGCGTAGTAGATTAAGGCTCTGCCTGCGACACCAGCATCCCATATGGGCACCAATTCAAGTCCTGGCTGCTCTACTTCCAATCCAGCTCCCTGCTAATGGCCTGGGAAAGCAGTAGAAGATGGCCCAAGTCCTTGGGCCCCTGCACCCATGTGGAAGACCCAGAAGAAGCTCCTGGTTCCTGGCTTTGGATTGGTCTAGTTCAGGCCATTGCAGCCATTTGGGGAGTGAACCAGCATATGGAAGACCTGTCTCTTCCTCTCTCTGTAACTCTGCCTCTCAAATAAATAAATAAATCTTCTTAAAAATTTTGCAGTAGCAAATGTATAAAATTTTTCATGATATAATTCTGTATAATTTTTTGAATGTTTAAAACTTTTTTTTATAAAAAAACTAGCAAAACCCCTCTTGGTAATTGTGATGCTGGCAGTTGGCATTTAATGAGGGTTATTGCCTTAATTCCTCCTAATGACCTTCCAGCTCTGAACCTGTGTGTACTCAGAGAACCCCCCTCCCATCTACCTGCTCTTGTTCTCATTGACCACCATGCCTATCAGGATAGGTCTGCCGCCTTCCTATATTCTGTCCTGATGAGATGCAGCCACTTCATGTTTGTGGTATCAGCGAAACCCTCCCTTCCAACTTTATTTTTAAAAGATTTATTTAGTTGAAAGACAGGGTTACAGAGAGAGGTAGAGACAGAGAAAGAGGTCTTCCATCCACTGGTTCACTCCCAAAAAATGGCCACAATGGCTGGAGCTGGCCTCTCTGAAACTGGGAGCCAGGAGCTTCTTCTGGGTCTCTCACGCAGATGCAGGGTCCAAGCACTCGAGCCATCTCTGCTGCTTTCCCAGGACAATTATCAGGGAGCTGGATCCGAAGTAGAGCAGCTGGGACTCGAACTGGTGCCCATATGGGATGCCACTGCTGCAGGCCGGGGCTTGAACCCACTGTGCCACAGCGTCAGCCTCCCCTCCCTTCTAACTCTTTAGGGACCTCATACACAGTGGAACTAGCCTGCAAGGGCCTCCTCTTTGCTGTCAGCCTCTCTCCTTTATTAAAGGACCTTGGTCTGTCCTACAACCATCCTAACTTTAGAGCTCTAACGCTACGACATCTCCCACCTCCTCTTCCTGCATTCATTTTCATAACATCTTCATTGATATTTCAGGTGATTCCCAAGAATTTTCACTGCATATCCCGGATGTCACTACTTGCACTTGTAGTCAGTGTTCTGATTGCTGGATTTTGACAAAGTTTAATCAGTGAAGATGTTGGAATGTGATTAAGGGAACATTAAGGAGGCAACAGTGGTTCTACTGCTGCCAAAGTAAACTTTCAAATTTTATTTTATTAGTATTATTAGTATTATTTTCAATATACCCTATAGCAATGGTTCTGAACCAGAGCTGGATTTTCCTATGATATACATTTGGCTGTGGGACAGTACTTCTGGGATCTAGATGACAGAGGCCAGGAATGCTGCTTGATTTCTATAATGCATATAACAACCTCACCTTCCCCTTATAAAGAATTATTCTGTCCAATGGGTCAGCAGTGGCAAGGGCGAGAATCCCTGCTCTACAAGTCCTCGGACTATGAATATGCCTCTACTGAGGAGGGTGGAGTTTTAGCTCTTTCAGCTAGGGACAGTGGAAGAAGGGCTTGTAGGAACCCCAGGGGATATGTCTGTATATGTATATGTATATGTATATGTATATGTATATGTATATGTATACCACTGCTGTATTGCATCCATAGCATGGTGGGACCTGGGAACTTCACAACATTAAAGATGAAAGCTGGGAAGACATGGAGATTGAAGAAAAACTGGAGAACACAGTGCAGGGAATGGGGAGAAAAGAAAGAAGCTGCATCTAATGCTTTTGAACTTGGCACCTTACTGTAAATAGCACCCTCGTGCTATAGAAACACAGGATGTAGGTTATTATAAAATGTTACCAATGCACAGTGTGGTGTATCATTGCAGTAGTGACCCCTGGACAATCAAGCTATTCCTGTCCTCTGCTCACCAAGCAGAGGTTTTCCTACCCCCTGAGTCTGGGCTGGCCTAGTCTCTTGCCTTGACCAAAACAGTGTAGAGGGAGTAATACTGTACGACATCTGAGACTAGTCAGCTTTGCCCTTCTCCCACTGTCTTGTGAGGAAGCCCAACCCAGTCTAGCCTCCTTGAGAAAAGGGCCCAGGTGTCCAGCCATCCCAGACCAGCACAGCCAGCCCCCAGCTAACCCTCCACTTTGACGTGGCTGCTTCAGGAACTCAAACTATCAATTCCTCCACCTGGCCCACCCACAGGATAGTAAGAAATAAAGGATGATGGTTATGGGGCTGGCATTGTGGCAGAGCAGGTAAAGCCGCTGCTTCCAACACCAGCATTTCCTGTAGGCACTGATTCAAGTCCTGACCGCTTCACCTCCGATGCGCTTCCCGGCTAACAGCATGGGCAAAGCAGTGGGAGATGACCCAAGGATGTGGGCCCCTCCCATCCACAAGAAGGTTCTGGTCCCTAGCTTCAGCCTGGCCCAGCCCTGGCCATTTGCTACCATCTGGGGAGTGAATTGGTGGGTGGAAGATCTCTCTCTCCCTCTCCCTGACTTCCAAATAAATAAGTAAATCTTCAAAAAACTGATGGGTATTTTAAGCTGCTAAGCATTGGGGTGGTTGGCTAGACAGCAACAGATAACTGAACATTGCATATACATGATTGCATATGCTTCAGGGGATGATGTGATAGTCTTTGAGTATATGTGCATCTAAATATGAGATCACGGATAAGGGGAACTGAATTCTTCTTGCTTTTTTTCTTGTAGCACTTCTCAGAACTTCTGGATGAATTTTCCCAGAACGTCTTGGGTCAGCTCCTGAATGACCCCTTCCTCTCAGAAAAGACTGTGTCGATGGAGGTGGAGCCATCGCCGACCTCGCCGGCGCCTCTCATCCAGGCTGAGCACAGCTACTCCCTGTGTGAGGAGCCCCGGGCCCAGTCGCCATTCACTCACGTGACCAACAGCGACAGCTTCAATGACGGTACACTCGGTGCAGGGGGAGCTCCAGGGGCCTTGGCACCTTTGAGTCCGAGCTCCGTGAGGGGGTGGAGTGCATCATGTTACTGTCAGCCCCACTTTAGCCCAGCATGTCTGTCTGTAAGGCCGTATGCTTGGGCTATGGGAGATAGGAAGGGGCACAGTATATTTCTCTATGTTGGAGTCTGTCCCCTGGGAACTTAACTACAACTAAACAAAATGATAGTAATTACTTTTTTTTTTTTTTTTTTTTTTTTGGCCTTGTGGCTTTGGACAACAATATGGGCTTTTCAAAATGAGGTTGACCTGTTGGTTGATAGTTCTCACCAGTCCAGTAAGTACATTGTTTCAAGGGGTGGTGATGTCATTTTTCCTGAGACAGGATGTTTATGACCACTCTTCTCCATAGAGGCTTTTTGGGCATCCTTTCAGCCCACTGCCAACATGTTCCATGGACTCCATGTGTCAGGTTCTTGGTAGGCATTCTTAGATTTTCTTGTTGGCTATACTTCCCTACTCATCAACAAATGGGATTTGTTGAAAGTCTAATTTAGAGATGTTAAAATATTTTGACCATTTCTCTGTAGGTCTGTACTTGGTATATGTTCCATTTCCCAAGACATATAACCTTTCTAATTTAATTGTATTTTGTTTTCCTAGAGGGATAACCAGGTATTTTCATACTCAAGATTTAAAAACTGTTCTGTCTGTTCCCAGTTCTGCTTATGCCTTCTGCACAGGAGCTTGCTGTGGCGGGAATGCTCACTAACTTGACTTCTTCTGGTTTGGTAGGAGCGTTCTTCTCTTTTTCTTATAGCACTGTACTTATGACAGCGTCTTTTGAAGGTAGCTACCTACAAAACAGGTTTTCTCATGCTTCCCTTTGCTTAAGGGCAGATGCCAGAAACTACTTCTTACATAAGGTGTTAGCTGTGTGGCGGAGCCCCTTCTTCAGTGTGGTTCTTAGATCCGCTACTCTCTTCTAAAGAACCAGCTCTGAGACCCGTACAACATCATATCTTGGGACAAAGAATGTTGTGGGGTTTCAGATTTTTCCATCTCATACACATTCTCTCTTTAAATAGAACTGCACCAAACAGCAGCTCAGGATGATCTGGCCTTATTCTGACTGAACAGAATGCCCCAAATCTGTTGGCATACCCTGCTGGAGCCTACACAATATGCACAGATTTTTTTTTTCCTCAATGACAATTTAGGTTCATGATGCCTTAATCTTTCTTCTCTGCAGCTAGTCAACTTTATCTCATATCTGAAGAATGGGTTAAGGAGGAAGGGGAAGAAATAGAACTAAAATAATTTGAGAAAACAGAGTTGTTGTGAGGGTAAAATGAGATGTTTTTAAACAACTTAGGACAACGTCTACCACATAGCATTTTGACGAATCAGTGTCTTCTTCTATCCCCCCTCCCCTACCCCTTATCCTTCTGCTGTCTTTGTCCACTTCTTCCCCTTTTCCTCCTCCTCTTCCCCCTTGGCCTCTATCCCCTCTCTTGTCTTACCCTTCTTTCCTCCTTCTGCTTCTGTTGTTTCTGTTGTGTTTTCTCTTTTGTCTTCTCTGTTCTCCCTTTCTCCTGTTCCCCCTCACTTTTTCTTAGATTGCTTTCAGGAATGACCATGATTGAGATGCAGGAGTATGGTCTCTGTTATGACAAAATAGTCCTAATGTTTCTTCCCATGTTCTTTTCATTAATTTATATATATCTATATCTCTCTCTATATATTTATATAATTTCCATAATTCCACTGATGCCTGCATTTCAAACCTTACTTCTTTTTTTTCTTTCTTTTTTTTTTTTTTTTTTTTTTTTTTTTGACAGGCAGAGTGGACAGTGAGAGAGAGACAGAGAGAAAGGTCTTCCTTTTGCCGTTGGCTCACCCTCCAATGGCCACTGCGGCCAATGCACTGCGGCTGGCGCACTGCGCTGATCCGAAGGCAGGAGCCAGGTGCTTATCCTGGTCTCCCATGGGGTGCAAGGCCCAAGTACGTGGGCCATCCTCCACTGTACTCCCTGGCCACAGCAGAGAGCTGGCCTGGAAGAGGGGCAACCGGGACAGAATCCGGCGCCCCAACTGGGACTAGAATCCTGTGTACTGGTGCCGCAAGGCGGAGGATTAGCCTAGTGAGCCGCGGCACCAGCCCAAACCTTACTTCTTTTGTGAAAGTCATTCCCAATGCTTCTTGAATTGCATATCTATTGCTGATTAACAAGTCTCTCCCCAAATTAGTGGCTTAAAACAATGATAATCATTGATTAGCTTTCCTGATTTCTGTGGATACGTGCTTCAGGAGTGGGTCACTCACATGGTTTTGGTTGAGAATCTTTCATAAAGTTGAAATGAGACATTGGCAGAGGCTACAGTCATTTAAAGACCTTTCCAAGACTGGAGGAGCTGTTTCTAAGATGGCTCACTTGCATCGTTGGCAAATCAGTGATGGCAAATTGTTTGCTCTCTCTGTGGCCTCCCCAAGGGCTGCTTGAGTCTTTCTACAGCTTGGCAGTTGTCTGCCCTGAGAGTGAAGGACCTACTGCAGTACCTTCTCTGACCTAGCCCTGGAAGCTTTTTGTTAGTCTCACAGGCAGGTCTGATTCACTTGATAGGAGACTGTACAAGGACATGACTCCCAGGAGGTCAGAATTCCTGGGGGCCATCTTGGAAGCTGACACCATGCCTCTCCTCACAGCGATGTCTGTGAAGAGACTTTCCCATGTCTGAACCCCTTTATCCCATATTATCAATGCCTTTCAGCATTGTCATTCACTCACTGGGTGATTCTTGAATTCCCATGCAAAGCACTGGAAGAAATACAAAGAAAAAGACTGTACATTGCGCTCATAGAACTTTTCAGGTGAGTAAGATTAGGAATACGTACAAATGATTATAAAAATCTTGAACACATGCTAACTGTAGTGGTTAAGTTAAGGTTATATGCTTGATAGATCTTTTTCAAGTTCTACTTCACTACTAACTAACCATGGGCAAATTCCATACCTTGGCTAAGATGGAGTTTCCTCACGTATAGAACTAGTAGTTTCCTCATGTATAGAACTACTTTATGTCTTGTTGTGAGGATTAAGTATGCTAATAGATTTCAATACCTAGGCTAGGGTCTGACTGATAATAAGGATATTGTTCTTAGCTGATGTTAAATTATTACTGAAAGAGCTGCAAGAGGACATGAGGATTTTGAGTGTTCAGGAGGGCTTTGTAGGAGATTTATCAATTTACCAATCTTTTTTTCCTACAGTGAATACAATAGTGGGTGCTTAACTGTTCTATTAGTGGATTACTTAATTTTTAATTATTTGTTCCTTATATGTCAGTTAGCTTCAGTGAATCTGCCTTATATTATAATCCTCTGCAGGGGTGGGGAACCTTGTTTCTGCCAAGGGCCATTTGGATATTTATAACATTATTCATGGGCCATACGAAATTAGCAAGTTACAAATTACCTGCTATAGATTTGTTGAATTTCAAGTCCCACCTGTGGTTGCCTTGGCAGACCAAATGATTTTGTGGCCCTCATACAGCCTGCAGCCTGGACATTCCCCATCCTTGCTCTAGAGGGATTAAAAAACAGAAGGAACTGTTTTGTAGAATAAATGACAGGAATGGTTTCTTTAGATGCTAGGTAAGATACTTATAAAGTTAATACACAAAGAATTTTTATGGGATGCAGATATAAAATGCTTCCCGAAGACTGTTAGGTACTCGCTTTTGTTCTTACTTACTAGTGCTCTTACAAAATCTCAGTAGTTCCCCATTGTTGCCTAGAATGAAGCTGACCTCATAAGCTTGGGCTTGAGGGTCTTTGTAGGCTGATCTGGTCCCTCTTTCCTGACTAGGTCCTGTCACTTCTTCATTTCTTGTCCAAGTGACTGTAGGATTGAGTTTTCCACTCCATGCCTTTTCTTACCCTCTTATCTCTACTGGAGAGCCCAGTGCCTTCCCTACACCATCTGCCCTCCTGTACTCCTCAAAATCCCACCTACCTCTCAAGACTCAACTCAACATCACCCAACATCTTAATCTTTCGTCTGGAGGTTGTCACCTTTCCTGTGTTTCCACCATCCTTTCTGGCCATTTACATAGAGATTATCACAATTGTCCATAAATTTCAATCACCCATTTATTTATCCATTTTCATCTGTATTTTGAGCTGAAGGACAGCAAGTACACTTTTGGATTTCTGTCAGCTGGCTTGGTACTTTGAAGGTGCCTGATAAACATTTATCTCACTGACTAAATTGATAATAAGTTATTAAGGGAGAAGTTACAGAAAGCTGAGCTTGGAAATGGTATCATGGAGTACACCTGCTCTGCTCCCTGGTGCCTGCTTTGCTTGCCCTGGGGCACCTCTCTGTGCAGACACACTGGACAGCATGTATTTGATCAGAGAGGTATTTGTTGATTTGTAGCAGTTGTACAGAATTAAACACAAGGCCAAATAGCAGTAGATGTTTTATACATGTTTTGATTCATTAAAAAATTACTTCCTTGACTGTTTATTGAGTAATTGCGCAGCAGATGGTTGTGATAATAAGAAAAATAAATAAGATGAAGGATGGGAATTTGCTGGGGTAGAGAGGGAGAATTAATTAGGATAGGTAGGGAAGCCTATACTGAAGGTGACATTTGAGCAAAGATCGACAGAAGATGGAAAGAGCAAGGTGTGTGTCTAGCAAGAGGCTTCTAGGCAGAGGAAAGAGCAAGTACAGAGGTCTTGTTGCAGAGGTGTAACAAGAATACAGGGCAACCTATGTTACTCAGACAGTTAACATCTGTGGCGATGTCAGCTGTGCAGCAGCCTTACTGTTCTTGGCTATGCAAGCTGGAAATAGTCTAAACACACTAGGAAAAGAAAAGTCACTTTCTCCCTCCATTTTGCATATGTCAGTTGACTGCTTACTATGTGTCAGGCAGTGCCCTAGATACTTGGGAATCAAAACAGTAAAACTTAAGTAGCTCATAGGCTAGTGAGAA